AATGCAGAGAATTCACACGGCATTGTTTGCGCTTTCCTTGCCTGGTCTAGGAGGAAGGGCAAAAACGGTCCCGTATTAACACCTTCCTATTCCCAGCGTGCCCAAGATCTTTGCTAACAAAGCTGAGTACCAGGAGCCTCTGCTCACTGTTCAGAAGAATAAAATCCCAAGCGATCTTGTTCTCCTTCCTTCCTATGCTCCCCACAAGTGACCTTGCAAATCTGGGCTCTGCTTTGGGGGGGGATGAACCCAGTTTCAGTGGCTGGTAGGGTAGGGAGTTTCCTTCTCCCTGGAATAAAAGGTGCATCGAGATCGAGTCCTGGAAACAGCCGGCTCCAGCCACTGAGAACTCAGCCTTCACTGCAGCAAACTTTGCTGGTTGGCTCCCCCTTTTTTCTCCTCCCCTCTCTGCTCACGTCCTGGGATTTTGGTGCAGTCCTATTAGTATTTCATGAAAGTGACTGCCTCCTTGAACCATGTGAGTACAGAGGAGAGATAGAATGGCAGATTACAATGGCAGAGCTCAGAATGCTGGGTCATAGAATGTCAATCTGGAAGGAACTTTAGAATACATAATACCAGAAAATCAGAGTGTCATGGAATGGCAGAGTGGGGCCCTTAGTACACAGACTGTCAGAGCTGGGAGAGCCCTTAGAACGTAGAATGGCATTCATATTATGTTAGAGGAGAAGAGACCTTTGACCATACAAGAAAATATAATGCAATTCCGTATAACACAACACAACAAACCTTTATTAAGGCCCATTTTATTGTTGTTGTTGAGTCATTTCTCAGTTGTGTCTGAGTCTTTGTGACCCTACTTAGGATTTTCTTGGCAAGAATACTGGAGTCGTTTACCATTTCCTTCCTTAGCTCATTTTATAGGTGAGGAATTGAAGCAAAGAGGGTTAAGTGATTTGCCTGGGGTCACACAGCTAGTAAGCATCTGAGGCTGGATTTGAACTCAGGAAGGAGTCTTTTTGACTCCAGGTTGGCACTCTCCACCGTGCCACCTAAGTGCTCCAAGCACCAATTAGGTACATTTATTAAAATACTCATTAGGGTGCTGGGTTGGTAATACTGTAGTTTAGTGAATAGAGAGTTGGCCTTGGAGAATCACGAAGACCAGGGTTCAAGTGTTGCCCCTGACACATACTATGTGACCTTGAATAAATCACTTAACTACTCAGAGGCAACTCTAATCTAAAGCTATACATGGCAGTAGTAATGACTGGTATTAGTAGAGGAAGTATGTTACCAGAAGCTTCCTACACTGATGAAATAATAGGTCAAAATGGAAAAATTCACTGGGCTCAGTGCTAGGGACACATAGACAAATATTGAAATGGCTTCTTTTACCGTAGACTTACAGGGGATTGTAACACACACACAGAGATAAGTAAACACCAGGCAAGGAAAGAATAGTAACAGTTGGGACTATCAAGGGAGGCTTCCCAGGAAAGGTGGTGCCTGAGTTGAACCTTGAAGCAAGATAAGGATTCTAGGAGGCAGAGATGAGAAGGGAATGTGTTCAGGTAGACAGCAGGGCCACTGTCCAAGGTGTGCAGATGGAGGACAGAATGTCAGTTTCAGGCAAAGAGCTAGAACATCGGTTGTTAGAGTTGGATAGGACTTTAGAACATGGAATGTTAACAGTTGAAAGGAATCTTAAAAGATCATCTAGCTCCACCCCTTCATTTTACACCACCAGAGGGGTGGAGTAATTTTGCCTTGGCTACACAGCAAATTAGAGACAGAGACAGTCTTCTGACTCAATCCAGTGTTTTTTCCCCTACATCCTGTTGCCTATTAGAGAAAGGGAAGAAGTTATTGGGGGAAGGGGTTAGTGTTGGGGACCAGTGGTATCCCGAAAGGGTTGTGATATGGGCAAGCCAGACTGTGTGCCACAGAATATTGCCATGGTTATAAATAAATATAATTGTAATGCTAATGAGTAATTTCGGGTCTCTGGATGGTGTTTCTTGGCACTTACAATGATGGAGTGGTTAGTGAGGGGAGAAGAAATAGAATATGAATGGTATAGTTAAAAAAAAAAAAAGAGCCCCATGCTGGGAGATTTGGATTCAAATGCTGATTGTCATTAACCCACTAGTGACCTTCGATAAGACACTTCATTTGTCTGGGACTCAGTTCCCTCATCTGTAAAAAGAGGAATGTTGATACATTTTTCCCAGCTCATGAAATTCATGTTCCAGTGTCTTCTCCTGTTCAGACATTCATTCAGCTGACATTCTGTTCTAACAATCTGTGTTCTGAAGTCCGTTCCAGCTCTGACATTCTCTGTTCCAATGTTTCTTCCATCTTGAATAGTCTATATCTAGGGTGGAGAACCTGTGGTCTTAAGGCCATATGTTGACCTCTAGGTCCTCAAGTTCTGCCCTCGGGTCCAATTTGGATTCAGTCAAAGGGCCATACTTGAGGAGCTGGAGGGCAATGGGTGGCTTCAAGGCCGAAGGTTCTATATTTTATTATTCCTTTCTGCTCTAAGAGAGAGCTGAGTAATCTGATAGAAACAATGCTGATCTTCAAGTCAGGAGGGTCTGGGTCTTAATCCTGTCTTTGACATTTAGTAATTTTTTGTTGTTGTTCAGTCATTTCAGCCTATTTGTGACCCCAACTGGGGTCTTCTTGGTAAAGATACTGGAGTGGTTTGCCATTTCCTTCTCCGGTTCATTTTATAGATAAAGAAACTGAGGCAAACATGTTGAAGTGACTTGCCTGGGGTCACACAGCTAGTAACTGTTTAGATTTGAACTTAGGTCTTCTGACTTAACTGTACCACCTAGCTCCCCATGACATAGCTACTGAATGCGTAGGTTGAAGCTCAGAGAGGTTAAGTGACCACGGGCAAATCAACTTAATCTAAGCTTCAGTTTCTTCATCTCTAAAATGGGGATAATCCTTGTCCTCCCTACTTTACAGGGCTATGGTGAGGAAAGTGCTTTGCAAACCCTAACGTGATGCAGAAATACAAGTTATTATTACGATCTCATGCTGTCAACCTCCTTTCCAACTCTGACATTTTATAATTTTATGAAATTTAAGTTGATGAGTGTTTATCTCCAGGACAATTTTGAAAAGGGATCAGTGGGATTGGGGGTGCTGGGTACCCTCCCCTAATATTTTGTATATCATGGTGAGTCCCTTCCAACTCTAACATTTTAGAACATTTTAGTACTTCTATGATTCTGTGAATCATTGTTTATTGGGTTGAATTATATGACAGACACATGTCCCTCCAGATGGAATTGGAAACTGCAACTCAATAATCCAAGGTCTTAGAAAAACTTGGCTAGAAACCTGCTCCCTATCTGTGATGCCACTGAATAATAGTAATCCTGATTAGTCCCTAACAGAGATCCCCAGGGTCTGGAGCAGGGATAGACACACAGTAGGGCTCATGTCTTGGCACATAGTAAGCCCTTTTAACAATGCCTACATGCATTCACTCACTGAGAGCTCTCACCTCCCTTTCTCAGACTTCAGGCGTTGTGGAATGATCCCCCCAATACTAGTTACATTTGTTTTGGGCACGTGTTCATCCCTGCTCTAGCTTCTCCGAGGGATAATCATTTTTACCCATGGGGGTCTGGGAGGCTGTCCAGCAGGATCTCAAAGACTGCCCTTTCTCCTTGATGCCCAGCAGGTCCATGGATACCCGCTGCAGTTCTGCTGGTAGACTGCAGAAGATGTTACGTGCAATTTAAAACATTTTTTTTTTTTTGAGGGAGGCACGAGGAGTCGACAGGCACGAGGCAGAAATGGGTCAGCTTTGCGGCATAGAGCTAACAGGGAGGATTCTGCAGCAGCCACTTAGGGACAGGTATTTGCAGGGATGGAAAAGTACTGACCAAAAGCGATGGGCCATCAGTTAACAGTCAGTCAACAATTTTGTTCAACAAATACGTAAAAATTGCTTACTATGAGCAAAGCAAGAAGAGGCAAAGTCAAGAAGAACTAGGTCCAAGAGCTGCCTGGGACCCAAATTGCTTGGATAACCCTGGGCAAACCATTTAACATCCCGCCCCACCTTCTCCAGAGCCCCTAGGCAACTGTCTAAGACCAGAAACTGCAGAACAGTGGCAGATAAGCAGGCATAAAGGGAGTTTCCCTACTTGGTGTCTCTAGACCAATGAAATCACAGATCTTGACCGAACAAAAAAATAATGTGCCAAGTACTCAGCTGGGGGTCTTTCGGTTTAGCAAAAAAGAACTCCTTGAAATATTGCAGATGTAGTAGAAAGAGCACAGATTGGAGTTAGAAGACACCGGTTGGGATCCCACCGGTGACAGTCACGACCAGTGTGTAGCCTTGGGCAAGTCACAACCTCCAGGGATTCTGAAAAGGAGGGGATGGGGCTAGATAGCCTTCCCCGTCAAGTCTTCGAGCATTTTTTAAGTCCCTATTAAGTGCCAGGCATTGATACAAAGAAAGGCCAAAATAATTCCTGCCCTCATGAAGCTCACAGTCTAATGGGAGAGACAACATAACAACTATATACAGACAATATATACAGGCTGTCCCAAAAGTCTTAGTGCAGTTTAAGCTGCTAAAGCTTCCCAGAAAAGAGATCGATTGGGAGGAGGAGACTCCAGTGAGAAATCCGAAAGTGAAAAGCTACTAGGCTATTAAAGCTTAATATATACAGGATAAACCTATGATCCTATGACATTTATTAACTTCGTGACCTTGGGCAAGTCATTTTACCTCTTGGTGCCTCAATTTCCACATCTATAATACAGGGGAACCATTTGGCCTCCGAGGTTCTTTCACGCTGTAAATCTAAGGTCCTACGACGTTTAGTAGCTGTGGGACCCTAGACGAGTGCTACACCTCTCGGATCTTCAGTTTCCTACTCAGCGGAATGAGGGGGTTGGGCTAGAAGCTCTCGGAGGTGTCCGGTTTAGCTCTGAATTCCGCAGCCAATCCCAGGTCTCCCGTGCTTTCCTCCCTCCCTCCGCGCAGCCCAGACTCTTACCTATGGGTGCCGGGAGTGACTGTTTCACTGGACTATTCCTAAGTCCAGACTTGCCCTGGGGGACAGGGGGGGGATAAGCCGAGGAGGGGAGGGGGAGGGGGGAGGAGGAGAGGAAGGGAGGTGGGAGGCGGGAGGAGAGGTGAGGAGCAATGGAGTGGGGAGGATGGAGGGGAGGTGGGAGGGGAGAGGACCGGAGGGAAGGTGGGGGGGGTAGGACGCGGGTGCAGTGAGGGAGGAAGAGGAGGACTGGAGGGAAGGAAGGAGGAGAGGGGCAGTGGGAGGTGGCCTCCTCCTCCTCCTCTTCTTCTTCCTCCTCCCTCTTCTCCACCTCCCCCCCATCCCCTCGGGCCCGCCCCCGGCTCTCAGCCCCGCCCCCAGCCCGGCGCTGACGTCAGCTGCGGCCCGCCCCTCATTGTCAGTCCCGTGGAGCTGGAGCTGCCGGCCGCCCGGAGGAGCCCAGCGCGGGGAGCCTCCGCAGCGCGGGCGGGCCGGGCCGGGGCCGGGGCCGGGGCCGCAGCCGCCCAGGTGAGAACGGGACCCTGGGGAGGACGCGGGAGCGTGAGGCAGAGCTCGGCAGGGGCCCCCGACGAGGGTGGGCGTCCGGGACCCGGGGATGGAGCCCGGGAAGAAGGAGCCCGGGCGGGCGCGCGGGCGCGTGGGGCGCTCGCGGAGGGCGCCGAACCTCCCCCGCGGGGGCGGCCCAAGGCTGCCGGGCTGCGACCACCTGAGCCGGAGCTCGGGGCTGACTGTCCCGGCGGAGAGCGAGGCGGGCGGGTGAGCGAGGGGCGAGAGCCCCCCCGGAGTCGTGGGGAGGGAGGGGGTGTCCGGGGGGCGCGAGTGTGTGAGTGACAGGCTGCGGAGGTGGGAAGGGGCCGGCGTGGTGGGGTTGATCATCTCAGAAAAAGGATTGATTTGGGAGGAGACTCCAAGGAGAAATCTGGAGGTGAAAAGCCGAGGAGAACTGGGGGAGGGGGAGAATCTGAGGTGAGGAGGGGAGAATTCGAGGGGAGAAGCTGAAGTGAGGAGGGGAGAAGCTGAGGTGAGGAGAGTAGAAGCTGAGGTGAGGAGGGGAGAAGCTGAGGTGAGGAGGGGACAATCTGAGATGGAGGGAGAAAATCTGAGCAGAGAAGTAAGGAGGGGGGAGAATCTGCTGAAGGGAGAGACGAGGAGAATCTAAGGAGAGAAGTGGGGAGGGGGGAATCTGAGAAGTTAGGAGAGGAAGAAGCTACTCAGCTTCTCACCTCACCTCAGAGGTGAGGAGGGAGCAATCAGAGGTAAGGAGGAGAAGAATCAGTGCAGAGGTGTAATCTGTGCAGGGAGTAAAAATCAGAGGAGAATTAGTGGAAGGTGGGAGTGGGAAGCAGGGAATCCAGGGGTTTGGGGCGGGAAAATGAAGTCCAAAGGATTTGAGGGCGCGGTGGTGGTGGGGTCCCCAATCGAGTATAGGGGGCTGTACGGGTTAGGAGGGGAGAACCCTGAGAGGAAGGAAGTGATCATACAGGAAGAGCCCGGGAGATCGAGGAGGGGAGGGGAGAGTTTGGGAATGGGGAAGGGCAGGAACGGGAATTGGGGGTGGGAAGGAGGCCTGGCGGGTCCGAAGAGAATCCCTACTCCCCGCCCTGGGAGGGGGTGAGGGAAGGTCAGAGGGAAAGGAAGGGAAGGGAGTGGAGTAGAGTGGGGTTCTGCGGCTGTAGCAGCAGCAGCAGCAGCAGCAGCAGCAGCAGCTGTCTGCCCTGTCTGCTGTCCCAGGCGATGCTGGTTTCGGCTTAGACCAATGGGCTGAGAAGGAATTTGAGGCATTTGCTTTGTTTAAGTTGCCAGTAGACAGTCCTTAAAACTAATTAATGATGGAATCTGAAAGGAAATGCTCGGAGAGCTCGGGGAAGGGGCTAATTACCAAGCCGGGCGCCTGGGGAGGAGGCCATGCCTGCGTTGGGGGAGCACCGCCCTCTCTCTCCCCCAGCCCCGAGTCACATTAAACTTTTCCGCAGAGTGTGCGGCTTGTCTGTCTGCCTGCCTGCCTCCTGCTTGCCTCCTTCCCTCCTTCCCTCCCTCCTTCCCTCCCTGGGCTTCCCAGTGGAGATCTGTGCCGATCTCCCCACAGAAACCCAGAGGGTAATCATGGCTTCCAGAAGTACAGCCATGAACTGTGGTTTTAAGAGTGAGTGTCCTTTTCCAGAGAAGGGAGGGTGTCTTCGGGGAATCTCAAGTCCTTGGGAGTGAGTATTCCAGGTCATGGGCCCCTTTCAACAGTCGCTCTGGTATCTTGCGGTCCCGGTTAATAGCTTGGGTATGCAAACCGAGGAGGACCGGCAGGCCATTGAGCATTTCTTCCTCACGTCAGACCCTTTCCCAATACCCCGGGAGCAGCGTTACGTATTGTCTCAGCAATGCCCAAGCCGGTTCTCACACTCTTGGGGTAGACAGCCCCAAAGAGGAAGCATCCTAGACTAGAGACTAGATATACTGACCTGCCATGCTAGTCCCACCTCCCCTGACTCACTCTGTGACCTTGGGGGAAGGGACTTCTGTGTCTTATCTGACAATTGAGGATAATACTCCCAGGCCCTCCCAGCCTCGTGGGGATGTTATGAGGGGCGGCGTCTCTCTGAGGTACAGTTCTTTTACCAACTGACTGCAGATCAGTTCTAATTAGCTGGCTTGGTATCAGAACTGAGGACATTCAATTCCTCCTCCTATGAGCTGTCTCCACCACCTGACAACAGTGGACTATGGAGTAGGGATTTTAGGTCTGCAAGGAACCTTTGAGATCATGTAATGTCAGTCTTTCATTTTTTGTTGTTGTACAGTTGTTTCAGTCGTGTCTGACTCTTCCTGACCCCATTTGGGGTTTTCTTGGCAACGATACTGGAGTTATTTTACCATTTCTTTCTCCAGCTCATTTTACAGATGAGGAAACTGAGGCTAACAGGGTTAAGTGACTTGCCTAGGGACACACAGTGTCAGAGGCTGCATTTGAGCTAAGGTCTTCCTGACTCCAGGCCAGGCACTCTGTCCATTCTGCCACTTAGCTGCCCCTCTCATTTTACAGAATAGGAAACTGAAGTCCTGGGGGAGGGGAAGTGACTTACCCAGGGTCACACAGCTAATGTCAGAGGTTAGCATTCTGCCTCTGACAGATACAATGCTCTTCTCACTTGCATTAGTTTCTGTGGGAGAATATGAGCTGTCACAGTTTGGAAACACACCTTTCTATCACCCCTTTTTGGGAGTGGAGTGTTTTGAATGGCTAAGTGGAGTAACCAAGTAGAAAATTCTTCTGTCAGAAATAATTATTTTGGTTAGAATTTCCCCTTAGGGCAGATATGTTTTTGATCACTTTCCTTTGTGGAATTTTCCAAGTTTCTAAAATTAAACTATTTCCCTAAACATTGTAAGAAAATCTATTTGAGCAAACTGGAAATAGTCTTGAGGGAGAGTTGGTGGGAAGTTGGGAGCGTGGGTAAACCAGCAAAAATTTTGAGTTTTCTGGATTGTTCCAATTTCTCAAATATTTTTCACTTTTCTCATTTATAGTATATTTGTATATATATCTAATCACCACCGCTAAGTTCTTTGAAGTATATTGCACATAATAGTCATTTAACAAATATTTGAAATAAATGAATGACCAGTTTTCCTAGAATTATGGGAAGGTAGAGCTGTCAAGGACCTTGGAAGTAAGGAGGAGAAGTAAACATTTGTTAATCACCTACTATGTGCCAAGCTTAAATACTTTGGCCACACAATGAGAAGACAGGACTCACTGGAAGAGACCCTGATGTTGGGAAAGATTGAAGGCAAAAGGAAAACGGGACAGGAGAGGAGCAGATGGATGGATAGGGTCATGGATGCAATGAGCTAAGACAGACTTTGGGAGAGAGTGGAGGACAGGAGGGCCTGGTGTGCTGTGTATGGTCCATGGGGTAATGAAGAGTCTGGCATGGCTGAATGACTGAACAACAAGGTACTGTGCTAATTGCTTTTACAAATATTATCTCATTTGATCCAAGAGATTATCTAGTTCAGCATTATTGTTTTACAGATGAGGAAACTGAGGACTGTGGACTTGAATTGACTTGCCAACGGTCACACAAATTTCAACCTACTTCCCTTGACTCCAGGGCTTTTTCTGCTATACTTAAGCTTTATTATTTTTTTTTTTGGACTCTTTGTGCATTTGACCTACCTTTCTTTAGTTCTTTGAAATTAACTTTTCCCAGTTATTTTGACCTAACTGAAAAAGCACTCTGTGGAAATAAAGTGACCTGGATTCTAGTGCTAGCTTTGTGGAGAAACTCTGTGAACCAGGGCTGTCACTTAAGTCATTCTTTAGAAAAGGGCGATACATACACACACCATTGGCTCACAGTAGTGTTGTCAGAATCCACAAAACAAGCATTTATTAGGTGGTTGCTATGTCTTGGTGTCATAGATTTAGGTCTGGAAATAATTTTAGAGGGTATATGCAGCATACTGCATGAAAAACCTGCCTCCACAGAACTGACGTCCTACTGGGTGAAATGCACCAGAAAATGTTTTTTGTTGAGGTCTTGATGGTTTTGAGTTTGGGGCCTTATAAGCAACATAGAAATTGATGGTGGTACATAGTAGGCACTTCATAAAATGGCTGGTGATGCTGGTGGTATTCCTCAGATGAAAATGTGAAGACCTAGAGAGGTTCTGTTGCAGTTGTGCAGGGGCTGTGGAGCTGTGGTTGTGGGGAGAAAGGTGTTGTCAAACTATCTTCCTTCACTTGTAGAAAAGCCCTTTCTGTGATATTCAGGAACGGAAAATAAATACTTTCTCATGTTTTGTACTTCTAGGAGCTTTTCAGGTGGTTCAATAAAGGTAAGATACATATCCAGGTCAAGAATTAGCCTGCCAATCCTTAGCAGAAAGTGGTGGCACAATGTTAAGTATTCCTAATAAACTTTGATTTGCCTTTTTAACATGTTTTGTTGTGGGGGGTGTTGATTTTATTTTGCGTGTATTTGGGGGTGGGGCACTTTTGGTAGGGATTTTTTGCTGGTGCCTGAGGCTTTGATGAAATTTACATTTCGAAGAGACTCCACTGTCCCTATTTGGTCTG